GGGAGAGGGGGAGAGAAGCGGAGGCCAGTGTGCAGGCCAGTCAGTGAGACTGCTACTAAGTCACTGTGAACATCTCAATGGGCCACACTTTGTGCATTTGGGGCTACAGTTAACCCCTCCACTTCTCCATGACTGATTCATTCCTACTATGTTTGGCTAAAAATTAAAACTGTCACCCAAGCAACATCAGTCTCATTAGAAGAAGAGGAACCACCAGCATCAGCAAATATAATGACCCTTTTGAAGGCAGCTGGTTGAGGACCTGTGAATCATTCTGCAACACCCAGACAGGGCAAACCACATCAACACTACATCTAAACAAAAAGCATCGACACCACCACCAAAAACAAAGTGATGACTTGTCAGCACTCCAGTTCTTCTTTCCCGAGCAGGCCTACTGGTGACGCACCTCATTCATTTTTAAATCATATTCAGATTAAGTCTCCGTCGACCTGTCCAATGAAGACCTCAAGTCAGGCCACACCTGCAGATGTCACCAACAGTTCACTCTCCTAGTGGGTGGGACCTCAGCCCAAAGTACAGAGCAGGAAAGACCTGAGTTGAAGCAGCTGGGGAAGCTGAAAGCAATGAAGGCCTGTGTCAGGAGGTCAGCAGACCAGCAGGCCCGGGCCAGAGGAAATCGTTGCTGCTGGCCATCCTGCCTTAAGTTCTGGGAGTTACAAGTCACATGCTGCCTCTGGTCTTTTTTGGTTTTTGTTTGTTTGTTTAAATATATTTTTATTGAACTCAGAGAAGAAGGGAGAGGGAGAGGGAGAGGGAGAGAGGGAGAGGGAGAGGGAGAGGGAGAGGGAGAGGGAGAGGGAGAGGGAGAGGGAGAGGGAGAGGGAGAGGGAGAGGGAGAGGGAGAGGGAGAGGGAGAGGGAGAGGGAGAGGGAGAGGGAGAGGGAGAGGGAGAGGGAGAGGGAGAGGGAGAGGGAGAGGGAGAGGAGAGGGAGAGGGAGAGGGAGAGGGGAGAGGGAGAGGGAGAGGGAGAGGGAGAGGGAGAGGGAGAGGAGAGAGGGAGAGGGAGAGGGAGAGGGAGAGGGAGAGGGAGAGGGAGAGGGAGAGGGAGAGGGAGAGGGAGAGGGAGAGGGAGAGGGAGAGGGAGAGGGAGAGGGAGAGGGAGAGGGAGAGGGAGAGGGAGAGGGAGAGGGAGAGGGAGGGAGGGAGAGGAGAGGGAGCGGGAGAGGGAGAGGGAGGGGAGAGGGAGAGGGAGGGAGGGAGAGGGAGAGGGGAGAGGGAGAGGGAGAGGGAGAGGGAGAGGGAGAGATCAATGATGAGGGAGAATCATTGATCGGCTGCCTCCTGCACGTCCCACCCTGGGGATCAAGCCCGCAGTTTAAGCATGTGCCCTGAATGGGAATTAAACCGCGAGCTCTTGGTTTATAGGTCGGCGCTCAACCATTGAGCCATGCCGGCCCACCACTGAATTTTCTGAGACCTGAAGTCAATAAAGATTGATGCAAGTGCATAATCTTCATTGCCCTCAAGCCCATAACCGGTAAAGCCTGAGTGTGGCTAGAATAAGGCTCAGTGAAACCACATTCATCCCCTCTAGTGGCTCTCCCATTGTTTCCTTTCTCAAGGCTTTAGTGCCACCTCTCACTGCTCTCTCTGAGACTTACTTCCAGTTCCAGATCAATAATTCCCTCCTTCTGCCACATGCTGACGCTTGCTCAACTAGCAATCCTGTCGCCAAGCTTTCCATTTCTCACACCCCCTAATTATTTGGGACATGTTGAAGGTTCCATTAGGTGATAAGGAATAACCTCACATGATCCCACTCAAGATTTTAGAATCTCAGTGGGAAAAATCTTGCTTATGGAGGCAGTGTTTCCCCAAAGGCCCAGCAGTCTATGTGCACTATACATGAGCCGCGGGCACTGAGCATACATCTGCCTCCTTGTGGGCTGTAGAAAGGCGGTAAGAGTGGGACATCTGCCACCCCCCACAGGAAGCAGATTTGGAATGGTCTGTCCCCTGAGCATTCTGGGTACTCCATTTCGGAGTAAGAGAGGGGCTGTCAGCATCAGCAGAAGGGAGACCAGGAGAGAAAAGGGTGCCATTTGGACAAAACTGCTTATGGTTCTTGTCTATCAGAGTGCTGCTTTCTGGTCCTATTCTTCTGTGTCACCTTCTGCTCCTCCATCCCAACTCTATTTGCCAAATACCTCAAGATGTTTCTAAGAGGCTCTGAATTATTGAGGGACCTGGGGAAGATGCTTTGGGAAAAATTAAGTGCAAAAACAGACAGCCCTGTACAGCTGGTGCAAATACTTGGTCATTGGCAGTTTCTTTCTAAGGCGGAAAGGGAATGGGGGGAGAGGGGGAAGCCAGCCTCTGCTAAATAATAATGAGATTCACAGAACAGACACAGCAGCTCCAAAGTTCACATCTCTCCGGCTTTACTCACCCCGAGCCATCTTGCTCCTTTATTGGCAGCCTGTTGAATCTGGACTCGCTTCAGGGTGACATGGTAGACAGCTCCTTCCTCTACCTCTTCACCCCAGTCCTGAATCGAGCTCTACCAGGGGATGGGAAAGAGAAAGAAAAAGGTTGTTTTGTTTTGTTTTGTTTTTCCCTCCTCTCTGCAAACCGCAATCTCTCCCAGCTGCGTTGCTGCTTACCCCAGCACTCAGGGCAAAAGACAGGCTGTTCAAAATAAATATTACAATCAGAGCCATGCAAGACACATTGCGATAAAGGGAACGCTGAGATTTTCTTGGCCCCCAGCCCTTTCCTGTGGTATCAGGATCCCCGGACTTTTCCATTTAGTTATTTTCCTAGACTCACTCGCATATCTTAAATAATTTTTAAGGTGTGTGGTGTGTTGTGTTCTTTCTTCCCCAGGAGGATAGTTTTTTCTTCTTAAAGAAACTCTGGTTTAGTCCCGATCAACTTTTCCTCCCTAAAGGAAAGAAAAAACAATTCCTTGGTAGGAAAAAAGTTTGTACTTTTAGAAGTGGCTCCGTTATTGGAACGAACTGCATTTTAAAGTCAGACACAAACAAGCATTTAAAATGCCACGGGTCCTGACACTTTTGGAAGTCAACCGCTTCCCATCGCCTTTCTCTCCTCTTATTGTTCGGGGGACCCAACAAGTCAGCGGGGGGTGGAAAGTTTTCATTTCCATAAAACCCTCTGGCAAGTGCAGAAGAAGCGACACATCATCACGCAGCCTCTAGTTAGACGCGTGCTTGGACGCCCCGGATTCCATGTCCCGGGCTGAGCTGCAAGTCCTTGTGAAAGAGCCTCCGGGCACAGAGCGCTCCGCGGTTCGCCCCGGCTGTTTCTCCTTAAAAGTTGTCCCTCCGGACAGACATCTGCCCCCCACACAGCCGGCAAGAGCTGAGAAAGGGGGGCTCCCGGGAAGCGAGCAGACCCGCGGCGCCGGAGGCACACGGCCGGAGCGAGAAGGCTGAGCGCCCGAGCGGGGACGGGCGCTCGGTTCACTCCGAGGGAGTCCCGAGCGCCCAGAGCAAGCGGGAGAGGCAGAGTTCCGTTACCATTTTAGCTTGCCAGAGCAATTTCATTCTCAGCGTTCCCTCCGGTACGGCGACGCGGCATGGTGCGCCCTGCTCCCAGGCCAGCGGGGTCCCGGCCCCCGGTCCGCGCTCCGAGCACAGACACGCGCTGCGCTGCCCCCGCCGCCGCCGCCGGTGCGCGCGACTCCGGCCACAAAGGGAGCGCGGCGAGCGAGCAGCCAGCGAGGGCGCCGCAGACTCCTCCCCGCGCCACTCCGCCACTCCGTGATGTCAGGCTTTCCTGTTTGTGCCTGGGAGCGCACGCTCCGCTCCTGAAGCCCCAGGGATCAAGTTAGCGGGGAAATGCTCCCCCCCGCTCTGCAGGTGACCCGCTTCTCCCCGGCGGTCACCCGGTGCCAAAAAAGAATCGGGTGCGGTCTAGGGGACAGAAATGTGTCTTCTCCCTTCGCTAAAAGAAATAAAGGAGGAGGAGTGCAAGTAGGATGGGAGGAGAGGGCTGGAAAAACGTGTTATCTGCCTGTTACCTATGGAATGCCGATTAAATCAGGGCGGCCCCGTGAGTGAAGCAATACTAGAATGCAGAAAGTTTTTTCATTAAGGCAAAAGAAAAAGAAAAAAGGAAGAAAGAGAGAGAGAGAGAGAGAGAGAGAGAGAGAGAGAGAGAGAGAGAGAGAGAGAGAGAGAGAGAGAGAGAGAGAGAGAGAGAGAAAGGATAAGAAGGAAGGAAGGGAAAGAGAGAGAGAGAAAGGAAGAAAGAAAGAAAAGAAAGGAAAAGAAAAGAAAAAGGAATTGCTCAGAGGCTGTACCAGAACCTGTGCCCGGGTATGAACCCTGGTCTGCATCATCATTCTACTCACAGGCAATTACTCTGGACTCTACCACCCATTACAAACCATAGGTCATCCCACAGTACCTGGCCATCGTGGGAGGGAAGGCAGAAAAGGGTTTTGCTGGGACTGAGTGCGTGGAAAGTGGGTGGGCGAGTTTTTGTGAGTTGTCACCATCTCCAGTTGTCTGTACTGTAGGGACACAGCAGGATAATAACCACAGGGGGGAAAGCCGTTCATGGAGAGCGTGCCAGAGGGAGTTTGGTCATAACAGAAAGATCTGCTCTCAGGATAAAAGATTATGGCCATTTTTAGACTCCATGTTAATAAATCAACAGCACGATACCAGAAGATAATGCAATCAGACTTGGGCACATTATGGAATTCCATGCCAATTACAAAACCTTTAGGGCTCATGTCTTTTACACTATTCACCCCTAAATGAGTTTAATCGCCTTTTGTTTTGTTTTTAAAGATCTCTCATGAATTGCCATGGTAAGGCATAAGGTAGGCCCTGGTTAATAATAAATATATCACGAGCTGTTTGAAAAGCTAGAGAATCAAGTGTTCTGATGTTCCCAGGAAGGCAGAATAATGACACAGTCCATCAAGGAAAAACAAAAGGGCATTCGGACACTTGAGGGCATCTTGGAGTCACTCAGCCATGGTCTCCTCACCCAACCAGAACCTCCAGGGCTCAGTAACTGTGGAGACAGGAAGACCAGACCCTTCTGTGAGCACCAGGACAAGGGCCCCAGAGTCCTGAGGAAAATCATGTGGAAGCCCAACTCCCTGCTTTAGAAGTCATCCTCAGGCCCCCAGGCCACCCCTGGAGAACCTATTCAGTGACTCTGAAGACCACAAGATGTACTCATGGATTAATTTCACCATCGCTGCAAATGTGAAGATGACTGAAGATTTTCTACTTCGAGGATATCAAGTCGTTCATTTGCCCTCACCCCTTCCAGGAAGCCTTCCTGGACAGGGAAGCCAATAACTCAGATCTCACCACCTTCTCCCTGGCTGGCCACCTGGTGGGGAAAGAGGAAAGGACAGAGCAAACCCAGCTTCAAATCCACACTCACATGAAGGCAGAACTTTGGCTCTACTTCCTTGAACTTTAATTTCCTCGTCTGCAAAGTGGGACCAACATCTACCTCATAGCGTTTGAACAGGATTAAATGAAATATGTTTGCAAGCCTTCTAGCTCATGGTAAGTGACCAAAAAGAGTTCCATTCCCTTATTACTGTACTTCCTCCCAAACCGTATCTTCCCAGGCTCACTGAAGTTCTGTATGCATGCCATGTGGGGAAATCTAAAATGATGTCTTCTCGCTGAAGTTATCATTTCAGAGAGGTTTTCCCAAGAATAATTACTTGTATTTATACCTGATAAAGAATGTGATTTTGTCCAAATGCTGATAAAAAAAGAAAAAGGCTGGTTGTTGGTTTTTTGTTATCGTTAATCCTCTCCTGAGCATATTTTTCCATTGATTTTTAGAGAGAGTGGAAGGGAGGGGGAGAGACAAAGAGAGAGAAACATCAATGTGAGAGACACACATCGATTGGTGGCCTCCCGCACGTGCTCCCACCGGGGCAGGGACAAGATCCTAACAGTGCTCTTGACCAAAATTGAACCTGCGACCCTTCAGTCCATGGGCTGATGCTTTATCCACTGAGCAAAACTGGCTAGGGTGAAAAAAAGGCTGGTTTTATGCTAGATAGAGCAATCTAGTGTTGCAATTTATAATTCTTAAAATATTTATTTTTAAATATTTCACCTGCAGGCAGCTCTGTCAGTGTTAACTTCTTACACACACCTTTGGGTGAAATACTCCTAGTCATAATGTGGGAAGGACAAACCAGCAAGTCATTTATAACTAAGTTTGAATTTATTGACCAGATTAGTGTACCCATGACCTAGCGTGACCCTGAGATAACCAGTCTTATTAAAAGGAGATCAATAATGCTTATAGTTTTTAGTGTGCAAGTCCTTGCTCTCCTTGGTTAAGTTACTCCTAAGTATTTTATTCTGTTTGATGCTATTGCAAATGGGATTTTCTTAACTTCATTTTCATTGTTAGTGTACAGAAATGCAATTGCTTTTTATATATTGATTTTATAGCCTAAATCTCCATCAATAGATGATTGCATTAAAAAAAATGTGGAGTATACATACAATGGAATGTTATTCAGCCTCAAAAAACAAGGGCATCCTGTCATATGTGACAACACAGATGAACCTTGAGACATTATGCTAAGTTAAGTGAGCCAATCACAGGACAGAACTGCATAATTCCATTTATATGAGGTATCTATAGCATTCAAACTCATAGAAGCAGAAAGTAGAACGAATGGTAGTTGCCAGGGATAGGAGGGGAGGGGAAATGAGTTGCTGTTCAATGCATATCAAGTTTCAGTTATGCAAGATGGAAAAATTCTAGAGATCTACTGTACAACATCATAGTTAATAATAAAGCACCTGAAAGAGTACTTGGAACGTCAGAGGCCTTGAATAGAAACGTATCTCCTTGCCCCCACCCACCCCCACCCCCACCCCCATCCTCCCATTCTTTCCTTTTAATGTAAATCTGTATTCATTTACTGATCTTGGTTTGCAATCTGCCGGTTGTTTACATGTTGGGTAATAGCTTGGACTGCATAACAGAAAAGAATGGGCAGTGTAAGAATAATGGATATTGTACTTGGATATATAGGGTGAAAAACTTGTTTTGGGTTTTTTTTTTTTATTGACTTCAGAGAGGAAGGGAGAGACAGACATCAATGATGAGAAAAGAAAGATTGATCAGCTGCCTCCTGCATGCCCCCTACTGGGGACAGAGCCCACAACCAGGGCCCTTGACCAGAATCAAACCCGGGACGTTTCAGTCCACGGGCTGACACTCTATCCACTGAGCCAAGACAGCTGGGGCTGAAAAACTTGTCTTGAAGACAGCAATATCAGCATGGGATGGGAAGAAATGGGAAGGCCTAGGTTCTGTCCTCAAACTCATTGCTGGACTATAATGTCCTATGCCCAATGATAAGTTTGGAGAACGGTCCTAAGAGATCAATAATAATAACACTAATAACAACAGCCACGACAGCGAGGTGAAGAAAGCTAAATACGTGAGAGGTCAGGATTTCCCCTCCACACCTTCGGGCTGCTGAGTGCCTGTTTCCTCTACATGCCTGCAGCCTTACCTAAAGTGATGAGTTTGAAAACCTTTCCCACTTTTAAATGGAATTGATAATAGCCATTTGGCAACATTTTATTCAGAAACTATACCTTCAGCTATCTGTATGTCCCTAAAAAACTTTTGATGGAGGACATAAGCAAATAAATGTTGCTCTTTTACTCCTTTATCCAACAATATTCAAGTATTGTCAAAAGGCAAACTACTGTTCTTCAGGCCTATGGGCTATGTTGCTCACCAATGTACTTCATGTTCTGCTCCCCACTATCAGCTGGGCAGCCTGCTGGAGTTGTTTCTAGCTATGCTGACTGGGGTTGCCCTGTGTACCCACTCTTAAGTTTTCAACCTTGCATTGCAAAGATCCAGTCATGCTTGGTTAAAGATGAACAGTGCTCACCCTGGCCAGGTGGCTCAGTTGGCTGGAGTGTTGTCTCATACACGAAGAGGCTGCAGGTTCAATTTCTGATCAGGGCACATACCTAGGTTACGGGTTCTATCCCCAGTCGGGGCATGTATGGGAGGCAAACAATCAATATTTCTCTCTCACATTAATGTTTTTTCTTTCTTTCTTTCCTTCTTTCTTTCCTTCTTTCTTTCTTCCTTCCTCCCTTCCTTCCTTTCTTTTTTTCTTCTTTTCTCGCAAATCAATAAAAAATATCCTCGGGTGAGGATAAAAAAAAATGTACAGTCCTCTTAAACACTCTTTAAGCAATAGAGAGTTGCTTCTATTTTCTGAGGGACCAAAGTAATTTTATTAATCATCACAGAGATACTATAAGGTATAAATTAAAATCTCAATGCTGTTATTAAGTTCTATTTAAGAAAGCAACTCACAAGCCAATGTTAGATGCACCTACTACAACTAAAGAAGAGGCTGCCCTGGGTAGAAAGTGGAAACAGAGGAAACATAAACATAGCCCTGACAGATGGCAGGCGGAAAGCAAGGGACTCCCCTGGTCATGATGACAAACATTTCACCAATAGTTGGTGGTTGCTTTTAATTGTTGATGATGCTCCCCTGAGGAGGAAGTTGGTTACTGGAATACTATGTGTAACTTGGACTAATGAGTATTATTCCTCATCTAATTATAGATTTCTGTAAAAGAAAAAGGACAGCTAGAAATCTGTTCCCTTGATTGAAAACATTAACAGTCAGCTCAGGCATGAGGCCAGGTCTGTGTTATATATAATAAAACATTCTGCAAAATGGAAGATAGGGACCTGATGCCATGAAGACTTTGACCAAAATTACAGAAGGACGCACTGGGCAATTAGCCAAATCATATGTTGTTTTGGGGCTTAAGGAACCTACTTTTTCCATAATAATGGTATTAAAATGGTGCTGAAAATCCAAATAAGTTAGAACCACTATAAGTTAGAGACTAAGCATGGTGGCTTTGAGTCCTAGATGCACCACTTCTCTCTGAAATGAGGTGTTTAACATCGCTAAGCCTATAAAAAATAGGGATACAAACACCTTGACTCATAGTGAGAATTAAATAAGATAATCCACACCAAACCCTTAGCACAGTATCTGGCACCATGGTTACTACTCAATGTTGTCTAGAAGTAGTAGTCATCGTCATCGTCGCCTTGAACATATCTGGCTCCCCCCATCACAGAGCCTTTACACATGTGATTCTTCCCTTTGGGGACATCCCTCCCTTTTACATTCTCCCACCCTAAGATGTGCTCTCATGGCACCATGTTCCTCTCTTTGTAGCCCTATCACAGTTTCATTTTACATTTAATTGTATGATTATTTGGTAAATGTCTGTTCCCCCAAACCCTGCAAAGACAGAGGAAATGTCTGTGTGTTTTTTTCTCACCACTGTATTCTAGCAGCTCACACAGTGCCTGGCACAGAATAGATGCTCAACAACTATTTGATTGACAGCTAAATATGTAGATAAATGCCATGCTATAAATTCAGTAAGTGCTTAGTGATTGTTGTTGAGTCATATAAATGAATCACTCAATATTGTCTCCACCTCTAAGTTGCTTATACTCTAAAAAGTAGAGAAGGGGCATAAAGAGCATAAGTGAAAAATGGACTTTGCAAATCCACAGATCAGAGAGTACAGATTAGGAAAGCCGGCAGACTGTGCAATGTGTCACCGAGAGGACACAGAAAATTGGTCAGGAGGCACTCACTCTTAAAGGACTTGCAGATAATTACAGCCTTTAACAAGGCTGTGTCAGCTACAGCCTTTAAAGAAAAAGAAATATGGACCGGGAGGAAGAGAGGAAGGTCTTCCAGGGGAGAGGATGGCAGGTCCAAAGGATGATATTTGGTTGGAGAAGTGGCTCATACACTCGAAGGAAATGAGATTTGGATAAAGTAGTTGGTTGATGGAGATTCTTGAATTTTTCTTAAGAGGACATTGAAATGATAAAGCAGAGTGTGAATAAGATGATTCTAATAATGTCCCATAGGTTGTCTTAGAGGGAAGAAAGCATAGAGGTAGAGTGAACTAACAGGAAGCTGTTGGAGTAGTGGACATGCCAAATATTTAACACCTAGGTTGAGACAATATTTGAAATAAAGAAATGAATCTCAGTGATTTTTTTTTTTGAAAAATTGATGTTGCAACCTGATGATAGGCAGCATATTGCAAGTAAATAGGAGGGGAAAGAAAAAAAACCTACAAGGTTTTAAGGCTGGGACACTGGGATTGAAGTGGAGACATGAAAATAAAGAGAAAGGGGGGAGGGGATTTTCTGTTTTGGGGAAAAAAACATTACAAGTTCAGTTCTGAGGAGAAAGAAAACAGAAATATTGAAGAGTGATCAGAAGGAAAGATAAAGACTAGAAATGAAGAACATTAGTTGCAAGTTGGTATGTATATAAGGAAGTTGTTTGAAACCATAAATCATATGATCCCTTCTCAGGGGAAGAGAAACGGAGTCCCTAGGCACCCACAGATGAAGAAAACCAACCAAAACTAAGGAGAGAGAAGAGCATGAGGAAGAGAAGAACACAGAGGGCTTGAGTTGTGGAAATGAGCTCGGAAAGGAAAGCTCATGCAATTAAAAGTTCTCCAGCGCTAAAATCAGTCTTGGGATATAGTCAGTGGACTTTAGAATACTGAAAAGGATGAGATTTACCTTCTGTTGCTATCACAAGAAATTATACGTACTTCAAGAGGACTTCCCCTGTTTAAAAGCATAAAAAAGGTTTTTTTTTTAAATTATGGCTAGTTATTCTATTCGATGACAATCTTCAATAAAATGTAACCAAAGTTAATTGAAAGCCTTAGTGTGGTCAGTTACATAACACCAGAATTGCTGAATAGCTTAAATGCAGTGTTTTCCCAGAAATATTTGTCTTTTGGAGGAAACCATGAATGGAAAGTTTCTGCCTTAAAGGAGAAGTTTTGAGAAGGTGGAGAGAAAAGAAAAACATATAATGGAAATATAACTATAACAATAATTAACCAAAACGCTACAAATATTGGTAACTATTCACACAGGGACAAGCAAAACAGAAAGAAAAGTGAACTTTACCACTTTAGAGAGTTGATTGTTGTTGTATATCATGTCTTCTTAAAAATCAGAAAATATCTCATATAATGCCTTTGCCAGGAACAATATTAGACAGATCTTTGGTTCTTCTGATTTTCTTGTTCAACTGGCAGAATCAACTCAGACGAATTCATACTGATCCTGTTTTGTCTAAGATGTAAAGTGAGGTCTGTAGAATGAAAACGTGTTTAGTTTGGGGCTAGAGAAGGGATGTGTCATGACCTTGGTTTATTCAGCTTCTTCTAGTTAGGCAAATAGCTGCTGCTCTGGAAAGCTACACAGAGATCTCACTTCCACCCTGGCTTTTCTGCTCTTCCCCTCCAAGGGGAAGGAGGGAGGAAGGGAGATATATTTTTTTAAATTGTGAGATGGATTGACTCCATCGAAGAAGCCATAGGCCTGAGGCTACAGGAGCTGAGCAGGGCTGTTGAGGACAGGACATTGTGGGAGGGGAGAATTGATGGAGTTGGGTGGTCTTCATCTCAAACCTTAATCATAAAATCTAATGATTTCTCTCCAGAATATCATAAACCCAACAGAAAAGCATTGTAAAGAAATGATGGTGCAATCATAAGTTATGTGGCCACCTTATAACAAAATAAGTAGTATATTTTTTCTTATAGCCAAATAGGTAATGTGTTTAACATTATTCAAAGGAATTTCTCTCCTATAACTTGCCAGGATGTCCTGCTGTGACGTTCATGTGTCCCGTGCCTGAGGAAACCACACCACCCTTGGTTGAAATGAAGGCTGCACGAGCTTAGCACGAGGACCAGCTGGTATTCTTGGCATACGTACTCAACTCGGGCTAAGTTTTTAGTCTTCCCCACCCGAAAAGGCTTAGGGATAAAGTGGGGATTGGGAAATCAGTGGAAAACCCCTCAATGTGATTAGTTCTATAAATTTATAGCAGACTCAAGATGCCCTAAGGAGGTCGAAAAGGCCCTAGAATCAGTTCCAGGTACCAAAAAGAAATTAAATTCGCTTTGGGTGTAGGTTCCAAAGATTTCAAAACAAAATTAGACCTGCTAGGATTTTGGCATGACAGTTAACCATGTGGACAAGGATACTGTCCTTGGATGGTGGAGCAGCAAGATAGACAGAGCCTGGCCATGGCCATCATCTCACAGAACAAAGCTGCCATATACCAGCCTTGGACTGCCTGTCTCTGGACCATTTCATGAGAGAGAGAAGTAGAATTCCTTCTTGTTTACATTGTAGTGAAATTGGCTCTCTCTGTTACATGCAGCCAAATCTATATACCTGTTAATACATCTGTTAAATGGAACAGAAATCAGTAAAGGTAAGAGAGTCACTTTAGCCAAAGGCTAGAGCATACCTCTGAAATTTACGCTGAAATTATTCTAGGCTCTGAAAAAGAGTTCTTTACCTACTTATTGTTGACTCAATGAATATGCAGTAAATATTTGCTGAGTGTCCACTATATATATCAGGCGCTGTGCTAGGCAATACGGAAATAAATTTTGACAAGACAGTTGTGGTGCTAACAGATTAGAGAGAGAAACAGACAAAACATGTACATTACAGTATCATAAATGCTGAGAGAAAGGTTGCTATTGGAGTATACAAGCTGAGCCCATAGGATTCAGGAATGCTTCCCAGAGAGAATAATCTTGAAAGTGAGTTCTGAAAGATGTGATGGAATTAGAAATAGCACAGGGAGGGGTTGGGGGTGAGGGGCAAGCAACCAGGCAGAGGGAACAGAATAGGGGAAAGCCCAGGACTCAGAGGAATCACAGATTGAACAGACTCCTGGGCATGGCCCACTAGCTCACCAAACATACCTCTGACTCCAGGCAACCCTGTGAATGAGTGAGATGCCCAATGTCCTGTCCTCAACAGCCCTGCTCAGCTCCTGTAGCCTCAGGCCTATCGCTTCTTCGATGGAGACAATCCATCTCATATTTGGTCTTCCCTTTTCCAACTGCCTTCTGTTTCCCCAGGATTATTGTCTTTTCCAAAGAACCCTACCTTCTTATGTGTCTGAAGTAGGACAGCTTCAGTTTTGTCAGTTTAGCTCCAGGACCTACTAGTTCTTCTGCCTGGCGGTCCAGGGTATCCATAGAGCTCTCCTCCAACACCGTATCTCATATGAATCCATTTTTTTCCTATCAGCCTCTTCATTGTCCAACTTTCACATCCTTACATAGTAATTGGGAATAGGCTGGTACTGTATGTTTTTTCCCCAAAAAAGAAGTTAGTACTATATCTTCACTTTGTGAGTACTAATTTGTCGTAATAGTATAATATACTAACTGGATATTTGTCCCTTGGACACATGAAGTATGCTTTTGTTTTGTTTTATGTAATCCCATTATCCCATAACTAATCCTCTGTGAAGGCTCAGATAAATAAATGACTATTTTAATGACTTTAACAGAGCCATCCTATGTGTGAGGCACTGACCTGCACGGTACATACTGTTCCTGGGTCCAAAGTAAGGGAGGCAAAGAAGGAAATGAACAAAGTAAGCAGGCAAGAGGGAAGAGCATTATTGTGGGCTTCTACGGAACCAGCCAGACTCTAAATTCCAAACCAGATTGTGAGTGTTACAATTGGTCCCACTTAGAATGGCCATCCTAGCACATCCCAGGTAAGAGTCTGGCACATGTTGGGGGCAGGATGGGAGGCCTTCTCTCATGTCCCACCTTGGAAATACTCAATGTTAGTGCTATCCCTGACCAGGGAACGAGAGAGAAGACCGGAGAGTGGGATCTCTTTGGGGGGAGAAGGGGGCAGGGAGGGAAGCAATTTTAGAAATACTAAATGCTGTGAGCCACCTGGAGGAGACTTAAGTATGAACAGAATTTCAAGGCAATGGGGAAGGGTTCAGGGAAGCTGGGTAAGAGAAAAGAGCAATCCAAGCAGAGGGAAAGGCATAAGCCCAGGCATAGAGGTCAAATGCGAGGTCGTCACAGACCAGGCAGAGGGAAGGCAGGCACCCAGAGAGAACGATCTGCCTGGACACAGACCACTGTACCTGTTGCTCACTCTTTCACCAGGATATTCCATGAGTCATATCGATGGAAATATATAACCTCACCCCGTGTAGACTAGCCAAGTTCCTCTGCACTAGAGTGGTTTGAAGTCTACCCACCCCGCTTGAGGGAGGTCAGAATTATGTGTAATTTAGCTACCACAGCCTGACTACCACCTATGTGCAGGTATGCATATTTTGGTGTTGGTAAATACTGACATTTTCTGTCACTTTACAAAGTAATTCTACATATAGTAGTTCCCTTAATCTTCACAACGGCTCCAAAAGTAGAGGTATTATTATCTCCGCTCAAAGTTCCAGATTACAAAGACAATGTGAAGGAGCCAGGTCTTAGACCCAAGTCTTTTGACTCCAAATACCATGCTGTTTTGTCCATAGAACATCTATTTGCATCTTTGCTGTTGCTTAATTATTTAGGACTTAAAGCACCTTATGAGTACATGAGGTCTTCAGACCCATTTGTAATCAGGGGTGCATTCACACAGTTGCCAGCACTCAAGAATTATGAGTCCATACTGGCTCTTTCCTGAGTGACTTGTCCTTTTCATTCCCATCATCCCAGTACAGGTTCATATTGCCTGGCACGATGGCTCCATTCATTCATGCATACAATCACGTAGGCAGCCACTATGCTTCAGGTGCTGTGCTAGGTGCTAGGGATCAATACAGAGCCTCAGCTGTCAAAGAACTTACAGTGTAGGGAGGAGACACATGAGTAAATAGGACCCTTAGAAGAATGTGAGACTATTCAGTGGAATAGCCACATGGCGGGACCCCTAGCATTGCGGACAAGCACCTAATCCAGAGTCAAGGAGTCAGGAAAGTCTACAGCTGAGACTTTAATGGAAAGCCGAAGTTAGCAAATAAAAAGGGTCAGGAGAAGGAATGGCATGAGCAGAGGCATGGGTGTCAAAGAAAGCAAAGCAGTTCCACAGGGAGAACTGGATATGGTTTGATATGCCTGAAGGATGAGTGCAGTGGGAAGGGCTGTGGAGAGCTGAGGTAAGCGTCAGATTAGAGAGGTTGGGAGCCATGTTAAAGAATCTGGACTTTATCCAGTGCAGTGAGACCATAAAGGGTCTCATGTAGAGTTACATGAGAAGACTTGCATTTTTAAGAGACCTGACGGTGACATGGAGAAAGGACGGGAGCAATACTGCTCCCGTAGGAATATAATCTGAGCCATTTATGTAATGTCAACTTTTCTAGCTGCCAAATTTAAAAAGTAAAAATAAACAGATGAAATTAACATTTTATTCGTTAACTAGTATTACCAATGTTAATAATATAGTTTCACTCACAGTATTAGAAAGAGGTACAGCCCTAGCTGGTTTGGCTCAGTGAATTGACCGTCGGACTGCGGATGAAGGGTCCTGGGTTCGATTCCAGTCAAGGGCACACACTTTCAGTTGTAGGCTCGATACCCAATCCATGCAGGAGGCAACCAATCGATGTGTCTCTCTCACATCGATGTTTCTCTCTCTGTCTCTCCCCCTCCCTTCCACTCTCTCTAAAAATCAATGGAAAAATATCTTCAGGTGAAGATTAACCAAAAAAAAGAGACAGACAGACATAAGAAAGAAAGAGAGAGAGAAAGAGAGAGAGAGAGAGGGAGGGAGGGAGGGAGGGAGGAATGGAGGGAGGGAGGGAGAGAAATATGAACACATTGGAGAAGTATTCAGGAAGGGGAATAGTAGAAATTTATTATAAATGAACTTTAGTTCATTTTACACACTAGGGTCGAACTAGGGTCAAACTAATCTTGCTGAAATATACCTGTGATTAAGATCCTCCCTTACTTTAATTTTTCTTTTTTTTTTTTTGTCTTTTGCCTTTTGCCTTTTCCTACCACATAAAGCCTAAGCTCTTCAGCCAGCATTGAGCTGAGCCTTTTCTCCAGTGTTTGCATCCTCCCATCCACACAGCTGGGCCTCTCTCTCCACTCCCACCTGCAGAGACGTCCCAACGTCCAAGACCAGGCATAACCTTACACAGAAGGAATGAGAAGACCTCAGCTCAGCACTCTGGGATGTAGTGTCAACCGTTCCTACTGCTAGTCAGGCCCCGTGTTCCAGGTCTAACTCCTGGCTTGGAACTCTGCCCGGTCCCTCTGGGGTGGGGGCCCTGCTTCTTGCTTTCCATTCCTTTCTTTCCTCCTTCCAGAGCTTGGAAATCTGCCCATGAACCTGAGCTCAGTGGCTGGAGCCCGCTGACTGCTGACTGACTTTCTTATTCCCTTATTTCTGATTACATTTCTCAGTGTCACCTGTCCTAGATTGCCCAGTACCAGCACCTCCAAGCCGGAGACTTGTCTCCCACCTTCAAACACCAATCCTACTTGCCTTGGTGACCGCCTGCCTCTGTTTCTGTAGACCTCTGCATATCATTTCTAATGCCTTGTCTGCCACCTAGACTTCCTCGCAGCTCTTGCCCCGTCCCCATGGGCAGATCTAGCCAGTCTGCCCTGTCTTTTGCAGGGAACCAGGCCATTTCTAACAGTATCTTGAGCTATGACAATTGACATTAAATGCCCCACAGATTAGAGCCCCACCCACCAGGAACACTTTCTCACTAGGCTTGTGAACACTTGACTCCAGTCAAAATAATCTCACTGTTGTTTGCCAGTCATGCCCCACACCTACAGACCTCTCGGATTTATTCCTGTTAACCGCTCACCTGAAAAGGGCTTTATCCCATTCCATCCCCCACTTACTGAGGAATTCTTAATAAAGAATAAGCCCCAAAATATGACAATCCAAATCTCTTCCCAACCCTGACTGGAAATTACATCTCCTTCCTCTGAAGTCCTGTGGCTCGCTATCTGGACTCCCATTATGGATTTTATTGTCTTTTTATTTTAAATGTCTTATCTCTCTTAAGTATATACTAGAGTAAGTAAACACTTTGGAAATAAAATGCATATCTGATTACTTAGCAAAGAAAACTAGGTAGGGAAGAGGGAAAGAGAGACTTGGCCCAATTTCACAACATGAGTAATCGTCCATCGAAGATTATAACTGAACAAGATCATCTTGTTAAGTGCCTGCTTAGCATCCTTAATCAAATCATTCCTGAAACATGGGGGGTAAGGGCCCCTGTCCCGATGGACTATGGAAATTCACTGTGAGTCCCTTAGGTAATATATATATTTCTTATTGTCTTCCCTTTCTATTAGGAGTTATTTTTTTGCATCTCTCCTTCCTCCCTCCCTTTCTGAATGTGTCTGGAGCCCCATCTCTCACCCCAAAGTTCTATGACTCCCCAAACAGAACTGGAATGAACTGCCACCTCCTTGAAATCCCTCCACTTCTTCCTTTAGGCATCTACTGGGCCCATAAGTGTGATAGAAGGAGACACAGCAGCTTTCTTCCCTGAGAGAAAACTCAAGGACCCAGGGAACAACCCAGCGATGCCCTGCCCTGCCTATCTTTGAACAATTCAATGGTAACTGAAAAGACGCAGGTAGGAAAACCAGACTGACAAGTGGGTGTTTCTGTTTTTGATTAAGGGGGGCAAAGTTCATTCTTGCATCCTGTATAATAACTTCTTGTTCCCAGCAGTACATCTAGCCATGGAGGGCCCACTGCCCTCTTATTTTGCCAAGTCTATGTCATGATGTGATGGGGGAGAGTTAAGCAGATTGTACACCCTTTCCAGCTTTCCTCTTAGGAGCTCCAGATGCTTTTTAAAAAAATATGACAATGATCTCACCAATCCCTGTACAGTAGCAAGAAACATTGCCAACAAAAATCAAATAATTATAATCCACCCACCATAATGTCTATTCTACCTGCATTATTCTGCAATATTAGACATCTGAGTGGCAATATACAGTGCCAAGTCCAAGGCCATGAGGTCTGAAGGCCCAATGGTCAGAAGTCCTCTGATGCTAGACAGACATCAAAGTATCAGGTTTTCTGAAGGAAGAAGCATTTAATTATGATCCAACATGCTTCAAAGTGCTTTCAAGTGGTCAGTCGCTCCTCCCTGCTTCCCTGTCTGGGCAATGAGCTCCACTTGCCTGATGAAGGAGTTGTGTTTCCTTTAGAAGCATCAAAGAGGATTCTCTCCGGCCCCACAGATTTGATGGGGCAGCAGAGTTGCCCCTTTCAAAATCCCATGTGTCCATGTTGAGATGAAATGGTCAAACCCTGTCTTCCAGGTGCTTTGCCTTGAATTGGAGACCCCATGTCCTTGTGGCAGGTACCTGGCAGGCCATCAGGGGACAGTCCTCAATTAGAACCCACATCCTTTTCTGGCCCAGCATGGGTTAAATTAACTTTCAAGGTTTGGGACAAGAATTAGTCTATTGATTAGCTTCAGAACTGGATGGATCCTCTAGGGCAGCGGGGGTGGAAGGAGATGATTCGGGTATCATTCATTAGAGTATCTGATGTCCAGAAGCTAAAACATGGGGAGTACTTTAACAATAAAAACAGAAACCAGCTACATAAGTCTGAGAAAACATCATTTCTCTTTCTACTGAAAATAGATTTTTATAATCTTGAGAGTGTATATGGGCATAATCTTTTTAGAGCACAATTTGGCAGTATCTATCAATATTAAAAGCACGCATTCACTTTGAACAAGCAATGTCACTACTAGGAATTTATCCTATGAATATACATGGAATATTCAACAAAACATATGTACAAGAATGGCCAACAAAGCATTATTAGTCATGGTTTTAAAAATACATCAAAATGTCCATCAGTGCAGGGTCGGGCTAAATAAAAATGGCACACCCATATAATGGATTACTATGGACTGGTTAAAAGAATGAGATGGATTTGTGTGTGCCCATATGGAAAGATTTTGAAAACACATCATTAAGGGGGAAAGGCCAGTACAGAACAGTGTGTAGAGTATAAGTCCTTCTATGTTAAAATGCACACATAGTTGTGGGCATGGTCACTTGATGACATTTAGGCAAATGCACGAAAAAATCTCGAGAAATGGTTGGCAGTGGTCGACTTTCAGTCAAGGACTTGAAGCAGGTGGAGAAACAGCGTCAGGGTCACTTAACAGGGTGGCATTTAGGAGAAAGCTCAGGGACCAGTTTAAGTTTCTTATTTGCATTCCCCATTGTTAAAAATACTAATAATATTCTGTTATCATTTTAAAGGTTTTCTAAGTTAGTATCTTCAACCTCAATTGGGTATGTGGTCAGAGAGAGAACAAAAAAAAGATATTCAGCGAGATCAGTAATACCCTCAGCAGCTAAGCTAAAGAGGAAGTATTCCAGTCCACAGAGGAAGATGCTGGCCTCTGCAAAAGTGTTTACTGCGCCTGAGGGTGGAGGGGGAAGTGGAAAGAAGAAGAGTAATAATTGCCTCATCTGGGTTTTTAATCGAATTTAATTTTTTCTACTTACTTTACTTTGGAAAGGGGATTCTGATAAGAGGAACTAGCCCTTGTGGGAGAATGTGAGGGAATAAAATGTTTTCCTAGCTATGCAGAGTCAGAAGGAGCGCTCTTATCCTTTCCTCACCCACTGGCCAATCGAAAGGCCAAAATAGAGGTGTTCAGAGGGAATGTTGACAGAGCTGCTTAGCAATGGCCCTGGAAGAATAAGGAATATGAACCAGCCCCTGAGAACAAACCTTCAAGAGCTGCTGGTGACTCAGTTACTACCGAACAGCAGGACTCTTTTGTTTTCTTGAGCCTGGGAAAGAAAAGAAAGAAAAAACCCTTTTGCTTTTGCAAACAGTCTTGAATTGCAGTTTCATTAATCCATTTCAAGGTCCAGGTTGGTGTGGCATAGGCAACTGTTTACCCACCCAGTGAAGAGATAAGGCAAGGCTGAGCCTCCAAAGAATCCACCAAGTCTCACCTGTCACACAGCTTCCGTTTATGATCCACATGGAGGCTTTCTATTGGCCAAGATCTACCTCAATGGATTTCATAATGGAGTAAAATTTATCTGAGTAAAATACTATCTGGCATAGGCCTAGATACGAAGCCTATAGAATAAGCATGACTTTAACATTGTTTTCTACCTGATGGCGCTCCCAGGGCAGGCACAGAACTGTCCCCTCTTCTCACTCACCATCCGATCATTCGTCACTAGGGCAGAAGAGGATGGTTAACAACATGATAAGCCTTGTTGGATAGTTTCTAAATGTTGGAGCTTCTTCAAGGAAGTGGGCACCCCCCCAGGGCAGGTTACTTCAGCTAGTTACAGGGAGAAGGAGGCCAAGGTCATGAGCTGATTTACCCTGAGGGCTATTAGCTTTGATTTGTTTCATGACCACATCCTGCATCCCTCAACCCAAACAGCTGTTTCAAAAATGGATGCCCTTGATGACAAGAGGGACTGGTCCAAAGTAAAATAGATGTGTTAGTTCAAACTCAACATGCTCCAGGAAAGATGAATCAAAGCACATCAAAAGTATTAAAATTACATCACCTGGTATTTGTTCCAAAGAGATCAGGAATAATAACATCAAGCAGACCTCAACAATCTGCACCACTGCTAGGTTGGTCATCAGACAAAAATAGCCTCATATTCACAGACAGCCATTTCTCCTTAAGGAGGAGACGATCACACTAACTCTGAATCCATTTTTCCAATAAAATACGTCTTCAAAGAAAATTATCTCATTTAGCACATAAAGAATGTTCTACTTGTTCACAGGTGTTCCCCCAGGGAGGAAACTGCAGTCAAGATGAGTTCTATCAAAGTCTGTGCCCTCATAAGCTCATTACTAAGTATTTTATGTAAAAACTAAATGCATTTTAGTCATGACTTGATCTGTGTATTTTTCATGCTAATCAGATACTGATGTTTTTCTCTTATAAACTGTTAGTTCTTTAAATTGCCCCTCACAGTTCTTCCCTCCAAACATGTTCTTCACCCACACACCATGCATAAAATACCTCCTTTATATTCCGCAGAACCCAACACTGATGCTTTTCCATCATTAATACAAAGAAACAAATTTACAAACTGTCTTTCCTCACACTTCAATCTATTTTCTTGGTTTTGAAGTTTCAAATATAATCCACAAACATAATCTCTGAAATACTACACGCACCAGTATCTGACGCACATATAAAGACCTAAAATTGCCCAGCCTGAATGGCTCAGTGGTTGAGCATTGATCTATAAACCAGGAAGTCCCAGTTTGATTCCCAGTAAGGGTATATGCCTGGGTTGCAAGCTGGATCCCCAGTGTGGTGCGTTCAGGAGACAAGCTGATCAATGATTCTTTCTCATCATTGATGTTTCTATCTCTCTCCCTCTACCTTCCTCTCTGAAATCAATAAAAATATATATATATTTTTTAAACCTAGAATTAACCTTGAGGACTGTCTCACACACTCCTCTTGACCTAGAATTAGCCTTGGGGGGTCATCTTACATACCTTGAAATCTAAGCGCATGTGCAACTGAAAGCTCTCTAATCTCAAAATAATGAAAGCTTGCAACACTACAAATAAGAATCACCATTTTTAATCCCTGGTCCCAGAAAATGGGCAGCTACACTGCTCCCTTCCTGGTATGAGTCTGTCCTCTGGGGGAGGAGAGAACCTTGCCTCCTCTGTTCCTTCCTACAGGTGTCCCTTGAAAGACTGTCTACAGGAGGCTCCCAGATCCAACAGTGTCAGGTGTACAACTCTGCCAGGGGGCTGAAACAGGACCTTCTCTTTCAGAAACTGATCCACCTACCACTGCTCATTGCCTTCAAAGAGCACTGAAGTCAGGCCTCAGGGAAAGATACAGCTAATTTTCTGGATATTGAGTCTATTTTGGAAATGATCTGAGAACGTGTGTCACCCTAATCAGAGAGACGTATGTTGATCATGTAGGTCTTGACCCAAAACCTGAAGCATGTTGATTGGACCATGGATGACACATTGAATCAGGCTGAGGATAGAGATACTGGGATATGGAATCCATACCCTCTTTCCACCCTAGTATTTCTATTCTTCCCAACTTCTTTCAAGAACCTCTCCCAGTTCCTCATGGGTTATCAAGGTACCTACAGTTCCTCTGTTTGCCCCCATAAGTGGGGCAGTATGTAAAATAAGGGGCCCAAAAATCCCTCCAAATCATGGAGGATTATATATGACCATCATTTTACTTAATAAAACTGTATAGATAACCCTCCCCCCTTACTACTAGGTTATGAAGTCACTAGAAAAAAAAAAATCCTGCTCCTTTTATGCCTTTTCTCTTCTGTTTATCTTTGATATCCCCCCTTCTCCCTGCCTAGCTTTTCCCTTCTTCTCTACCCTATAGTACAGAGCCCCTTTTCTTCTTTACTTCTTCTGTATAATTCTAAACACAGCCTCTGCCAATAACCCTGAGCTCTTGCTGCATCATGCTGATTTGCACCAGCTGTGCTTGTGGTGGTGAACCCATACATATAACAGGGTCTCCTTAGATCTTCCTCTGAAAACAAGACTCCACATATACATCTAAAAGTCATGACCAGTGGGAAGGAAACTGAGCCAAGGATAAATAGACCCTGCTTTGAACTACTGATCACATTAAATAAGAGAAAAAATACAACGGGAGAAAAGAAAAGTGCTACCCAGAGTTGTAGCTTAAAGATTTTCTTGGATCTGTACAGCAAACTGTAAAATGATCTGTTCATTTAAACATCCCACTTCCAAATTTAATGTTAAATTTCTCAATACTAATGGGAGGAAGAGGCAGGGCAGGGCAGGGAGTGAAGGATGGGAAGACTGCCATCAAGAAGGCTTCAAGTGACAATATAAAGTATACTCCCAGATTAAAAGAGAGAAGCCAGGAACTTCATCATATAACTAGCGTTTGCAAAGCTTAGTCTTTGACAATCTTACACAATTGTAAAAAAAACAAGTGCATGGAGCAGCTGTTGGGAATTCGAGTCAAATGATGTTATTCTGCAATTTGGGGCAAATCAGAATCTTGGATTGTGAGTTTTCCTATCACCTCCCTCCCTAAGGGGTCACTGGCAAAGTTACCAGATAGTTTGTGTATACTGAACGGTCTGGCCCATTTATTTTCCATTATGAAACGATGTGTAATGGTCGTGCGGTTGAACATGACCTGATATTGTGAATGACCATCATTAGAATGTAATTATCCTTCATCTCTGCCCCAGTGCAACTATGTTCCAGATTCTCCACACCAAACTGCATTTGTCCTAGCTGCATGGGACAAATGCCATTGGTTTTGTTGAAACAAAAGTCATCCAGATTGTAAAATTATTTATTCGTTTCAAAGACTCTGGCAACTTCCAAATCAGGGACACAAACATGATCCATCTGATGTAAGAGGACATCCGGCGGTCTAAGAAAAATATGGTGAAGCTAACCCTGTATTACAAAGCTCATCTACTGACGAGTTAGGTTCCAAAAGGCTTTCTTCAAGCCTGCTTCTCTGTAAGTTCAGGAGGACATGAAACAAGCCGCTGCTAACAGTCTCCTGTTGAGGGCAAGCAGAAAGGGTGCACTTCAACTCGGGACAGCTTCCGTCCATCTATGGAAGTTCTTAGATTGAAAATGTACAAGAGACAGAACTTCTATACTCACTTTATGCACTTGAAGGAGTTAAGAGTACGTTTCTGTCCACTACAAACAGCAGCAACATGACTTCAGGGTTCCCAGAACTCATTATTCTGTCAAACTTCAAGCACTGAGTTCCTGAGCAGCAACAACATTAGAACAAAAATGGAGACCCCACCAGCAGGATCTTTGGTGGATGAACTATTTACCAGGAGGTAAAAGCTTACATGGCCCTTCCTGATCTGAACCCCACCCTCCTTTCAAGCCCATCTCCCCCTATACCAGTGATGGCGAACCTATGACACGCATGTCAGAGGTGACACACGAACTCATTTTTTTGGTTGATTTTTCTTTGTTAAGTGGCATTTAAATATATAAAATAAATATCAAAAATATAAGTCTTTGTTTTACTGTGGTTGCAAATATCAAAAAATTTCTATATGTGACACGGCACCAGAGTTAAGTTAGGGTTTTTCAAAATGCTGACACACCGAGCTCAAAAGGTTCGCCATCACTGCCCTATACCTTCTACTTGGAACCCTGTCTTCCATCCATATTGAACTTCATTCCCCATTCCCTCTAGCTTCTACACCTTTGCACATGCCTTTCCCTCTGCATGTGCAAAGGACTTCCTTCCCCACCCTCATCATCACTTATTCCTGAAATGTATTAATTACTCTTAGCTTTTCCTAACCTCCCAGATTCAGATAAAATGTGCCTCAAACATGCTCCCTTGTAACCTTGTATTTCCTTTTTAATTTCCCTGAACACATGTATGATGCCTTTTTAAAAAGAATCTATATTTCCCACTGAACCATGAGTCAGGGGTTATATCAGTCCTATTCATAGCAGTTATTCCACAAATACTTATTGGGTAAATGCCTCAATTCACTATTCTACATTTACTAAACTAGGCATTAATATATTTGAGATGCTTTATTTAATGATATCTGTCACTTTAGTAACCTTTTGTCTTGTTTGACATGTTTAATTATAGAATTGTAAAAGTACAGAGAAACACACAAATATATAATCATGTTCACTTTACTGCCATTCTGGAATTAATAAATGTTAACAGATGTACATTGTGCATATTACTTGCAGTTTATTTAAGACTGTTTTCAAAGGGCCAAACTCAAATGGTTTTGTGATCGATCCTGAGTTAACTAGAGAGAGAAAAATGGAAACATTAATGAGCACTAGCTCTGTGCCAATCACTGTCCTAAATGGCTCATATACATCGCATATTGCCTTCAAGAGAATATTATTCTCCACATTTTATAGATGAAGAAACTGACATTTAGAAGATTAACTACCACCCAAGATAAAAATACATCCGGTAAATGTCACTAATATGCCTAAACCAAATTCTATTTAAATCCAAAAAACCCATGGGGCTTTCCTCTTTATTATCTAGATCCTCAAATCCTACTCGTGTCTGGAAGGAACTTGCACTTTTTGAACCATATATGTAATTCCTCCATTCATTTTATTTATTTTTTTTAATCCTCACCTGAGGATATTTTTCCATTGATTTTTAGAGAGAGGGAGAGAGAGAGAGAGAGAGAGAGAGACCGATGTGAGAGAGACACATCAGTTGGTTGCCTCCCACATGCCCCGACCAGAGCAGGGAGCCTGCAACCAAGGTACCTTGACCGGAATCGAACTCGGCACCCTTCAGTCTGCAGGCCGACACTCTATCCACTGAGCCAAACTGGCTAGAGCTCCTTCATTCATTTTAAAAATGTAACTAATGAGCCATGTGCTATCTCATGAATGCAAAGAAAAATAAGGTAACCAGGGCCCTGCATTTACAAGCATTCTTGTTAATTTAGCTGGAGAGTAAGAACTAAAGTGGTTATGTAACGGACATTCTCCGCTGCAAAAGAAACATGCAACCACCAAGGCAATGAGAAAATAGCACCAATAGGCTGAATGGACCCACCACACACAAACTCTCGGCTCAAGGATGACAAACGACGAGTTCATTCATACCAGATGGCCCCCAAAGTTCCTCCTGGTCCCACCATGACTAGAATCTTGTGGCTGTGGTGGGAAAAGCTTTTACAAGGTGACTAGATATTTAAGAGTCATAGTTAGAAACTGGCTGTCATTTATGATTTCTACAGGGCCGTATATTTTTTGTTTTCACAATTTAAAAATAAAAGAAGAAACTTAGGGATGAATAGTTTGGCTCTTTTTTCTATGTGTCTTCTTGGCTCTCAGTTCAAAATTTTATGGTGACTGCCTGGTTGGCACCTGTGTGGCTCTACAGTGCGAGTCTGGCACAGGTCGGCCTCTGCACCTCTTCCTGGTGGTCCCGGCCTCCCTTCAGAAGATGGATGACACCTTGGTC